AAGTCAGAACTGGCGGTCAGTTTCAGCAGCGGCTGAATCTGGACGCCAGTTCCGACTTACATACAGATTCAACTTAAGAACAAACCTACAGTCCCTATCTTGTACGTAACCCCGGGGACTGCCTTAAGTCAGAACTGGCGGTCAGTTTCAGCAGCGGCTGAATCTGGACGCCAGTTCCGACTTACATACAGATTCAACTTAAGAACAAACCTACAGTCCCTATCTTGTACGTAACCCCGGGGACTGCCTGTAGTAAAATATGGCTCCAGCTCAACTAGAAAGAAATCCTGGGACAGGATTTCCAGCAACAGCAAAACTCCTATTAACTTCAGTGGATTCTGAGTGTCCTATCAGTGTTGTAATTTAGAGAGCAAGGAAAGACATTTTGTCTTCTGGGTTGGGGAAATTTTAGGCGTGGAACTACAAATGTCTTGAGAGAAATTTCTGACCGCAAAGGAGCAAACGGCAAACAAACTCCACTGATTTCTGCCCATCACAGGAGTGCTTAGAGCAACCTACAGTGTATGGAACTCTTTACAATACCTCCGCCTACTAAGTTGCTCTTTGTTTTACATGAGAGACAACCCCAGTACTATACAGATGGACACTGATGTCCATAAATACCTTTCCTAATTCACAGGCAAGGACTTTTACCTACATTTTGTACGGTTCCATTTAAGAATGTTAAGTAGTGGTTAATAAGCTAATTGAGTAGTTGATGGAATTTCCATTGACTACTTGATTAATCGATAAGGGGGCTAGCTCCTGGGGGCGGCACGAGCCGGGACTGACACGAGCTCTGGGACAGCTGCAGCTCGGCCTTTTAAATGTAGTTAAGAGCCATGTGAGGTGGCTCTGGTTCTCATCCCTACTGGATGTGATAGTGCTCAGTGCCTGTTAGGTTGAAGTTTCTCCATATTTGATATCATAGAGCCTGGGCACATCATAAGCCAAGTAAAATATCTGTCTTCACTGGCTCATGAAAGGATACAAACAAAGAACCTCAGTGCTTTGACGCAGGTTCCTCAAGTTCTCCCATCTGCTCCGAAGGAGTTTGTTGAAGTACATGTGACTGGAGATGAGGTTCTTCACTGGTGTCATATCTCCTGCCTGTAAAGCACCTTTCTCTGCTTGGGACAGGCCACTAGGACATGGAATGCAGAGGTACCACAAGAAAAATCTGTTTATTTTATCAGAGTAGCAATACCTAAAATACCAGTGGCCATGGCTGCACAGCATGGATGGTCAAAATCTCAGATCAAGGGAGCTGATGATTAGGAGATTTGTTTGTCAGCGGGACAAGAAAATGCACACACAGATGCGTCTGTGTATGTATATTTGGAAAGTGACTTTCATTCATTGCTAGGGGCATGGGTTGGCAATACAACAGAAGTCAGAATCAGACATCACCAGGTGATTCAAAGAGAGACAGGGTCCTCATTTTCCAGATAAATAGTACTAAGTATGCTAATACTGAGAAAATTATGCAGGTTGGACCTCCCTGGTCCAGCACCCTCAGGACCTGACTGGTCCCAAATGAGGGAGTTTGCTGGATCAGGGAAGGTCAATTCCACTCCTCTGCTGATGGACTGTAGGCCAGTGGTCCACAACCTTTCAGAGCGGCTGGGGGTGGGGGCCGCGCGTCCGGGGGCAGGGCCTCACCGTGCGCCCGGGAGCAGGGCTGCCCCCAGGGCTGGGGCCATGCGCTGTGGGGCTGGGGCCATCCATGCACCGGGGGTGGGGCCAGCCCAGATCATTCGGCGGGCACACACAAATACCCCGGCAGGCGCCATGGCGCCCGCGGGCGCCGTGTTGGGGACCACTGCTCTAGGCTCTCCAGGGTCCATCAGCAGAGGGTTCCCCTGCCCCTCACCATAGGGGGGCGGGCGCCCCCCCCCTGCCACTACAGCACTGGGACTTCTGGGGCTGCTGTCCCTGAAGCCCTGAGACTGCTGGAACACTGGGACTGCTGCAGTCCCAGAACTGCAGAGCTCTGGGGCTCCACAGCCCCCCGGCTGCCGCTGCCCCCTCAACTCTGGGACTGCTGGGGCCGCCGGGACTCTGCTGTCCTGGGGGCTATCCAGGCTGCTGAGATCCTAGGGCTTTCTGGTCCAGCAACATCTGTGGTCCTGCTGGACCACAGATGTTGCCGGATGAGAGAGGTTCAACCCGTTTTTCCAAAGCAATAAGCAAAGCAGACAAGTAAAGTAACTTGCAGGACTGGAATGGGTAACATGAAAATTATTTTGTTTCCAATGAAGTTGGAAATTAGTATGATTAATACAATATTAGTCAAATCATTTTCTTCACCTAGAACAGGGGTCTCCAAACTACGGCCCGGGGGCCGGATGCGGCCCGCGAGGCCCTCTCATCCGGCCCGTGGAGACCTTTTTGGATTCAAAGGCAGAAGAAGTGAGATTGTTTCAAAACCCATTTGAAGCAGATGTGGCCAGTTGCCCAGATGAACTGCAGCTGGAAGTCATTGAGTTGCAAGCAAATGACCTCCTTAGGGACAAGTTCAAAATAGGACTGGTGGGTTTTTACCAGTTTTTGCCCAAGGAAGACTTTCCTAATGTCAAAACTTTTGCATCAAGGTACCTTTCAATCTTTGGAACAACATACCTGTGTGAACAAACATTTTCAAGAATGAAATACGTGAAGAACAATTTGAGAACAAACTTGTCCGATGATAATCTCAGGTCACTGTTGATGTTAGGGACAACAAATCTAAAGCCAGAAATGTCTGCTATTTTGGCATCCAGGAAACAATTTCACCATTCACACTAATACAGGTGTTCATGTGTAGTGTATGAATGTGTTATTAAATAATAACTGAATAAAATAATATTAAATAAATAATTAAAAACAACATCCATGTTTTGATTGTTTTTTATTTGGACCTCAAGTGTGTAGTCGGCCCCCGAACTGCTGTTTGATAGTTAATGCGGCCCTCGGGCTGAAAAGTTTGGAGACCCCTGACCTAGAATATGACAAAGTAATGGAATAGAAATCTACAGTGTATTTGGATTTTACTTTTGCGTGACCACTAGATGGAGCTCACATTTTGCTAATCTGTACTTCAGTCCATGAGAGTCCATCTGGTATTTGGATTTGGTGAATATTGTAGGTTTAAAATAATTAGGTTGAGTGTATACTGTTGTAATTATTGAATTTGATAGTGAAAAGCAATAAAAATAAACCTTCACAGTTGTTTACATTTTTAAATTTGTTTTTATTGTGTTGTTTAAAACTAAGTGAATATTTGACATTACTGATTTAGAATGAGTAATTGCTTCTGGTGTTTAATCTTTTTCTTACTTATGTTTTGCACCTGTCATCAGATCATCCTTATCAATTATCTGGAAAAGATAAATTATATTTATTTTTATTTCTTCACATCAGCATGCTCTGGAGTAATGGTGTAAATTACATTTTTTTTCTGACTTTGGCATCTGTGACCCCTGAGAGGAGATTTCCTGGACACAGTAAATGACTTTTGAGTATTTGTACAAATGTACATTAAGAATAAACCATGAATGCCAAACTGAAGTGAGGGAATGAAAATAATAGTTGGTAGAGGCCTGGGGCTAACTACATTGAGTCCTTGCCCAGTACCAAAAAACACGTATCTCCTCTTTCAAATGGTATAAACTATTGGTTTTCAACTTTTTTCAGATCGAAAACCACTCATATAAATCATATCTGTTTTATGAACATTTAGATGTTGAAATCATAGTTTAAGTGGAGTTAAATGGTAATCAAGGTGGTCAACTAGTGTTTAAAAGTCTGGCTTACAACTTACCTGGTCCCACTTGTATTCAGAGAAAACAGGTGTCCGTCTAGATTGACAAAATACTAAGAACAGAAAAATGTGTAGTGACTATTGCACGAATGACTAGACTGGAGAGTGTCGGGCCTTTCCCTAGGAGGCTCACAATAACAGAGCATTTTTCAAACATAGCCTAAACCCATTTGCAGCTACAGTAGGGACTGTGATGTTGTTCTTTTTTTTCCATCACTGGCCAAGGACAGTTTGGAAAAGTTCACTGCTTCCAGCACTACTTACACTAGTCTCCTAAGATATTTTGCTTTCTGGTTCTTTAAAGTTATCTTTTTTTTTTTAAGTTTTTTTTTTAAAGTCTCACTCTGTCTAGTGTATATTTGTGAAATTTGTTGATTTGATTATCCTTGCTGTTGTTTCTGTGAAGCCACTGATGTGTTTCCATTGTTGTAGAATCTTTCAGTGTGCCCTGAAGATGAATCAATCATCATGTCCTCCTTTGTAAACACTATGACTTCTCTGAGTGTGAAACAAGGTAAGTCTGTTCTGATAGAGAGCTCAAGCAAAGGTCAACTGAAGCTGTCTCCCCCTTACCTTGATGATCAGGCTTTCTAGTGTTTTAGGATCAGTTGTAGCAAGTAACTGGGGCAAACTCAAGATATTTTTATCTAAATCCCATTTTGTATGGTGGCTGCGTGTCTCCATTCTGCTTCCCCCTTCATCCTGTTTGTTTTCTGTTGTCCTTCATAATACCATCTCATTGATACATCGGAGCACATTCAGCAGTGGGAAATTTACTGGAAGGGATTCTGATCTTTAATTTTCAAAACTCAGTAGTCAAGTAAATTTCACCGTGCTGTTGCTGGTGCACAGCTGAAATGGGAAAGAATGGAATCTTAAACAGAAGTGAGTGTGGATGTAAAGGGTTAACTGGTTACTAAGGGTGTGTCTAGACTACATGCCTCCTTCGACGGAGGCATGTAGATTAGCCAGATCGGGAGGGG